GCGACAGAGCAGCGTCCAGGCAGGGTCAGCCTGCCACACCAATGTTCTTTCTGGGAAACTTTTACGTACTGCAAAAGACAGAAATCCACAGTATGAGGATAATCCTTCAAGGAATGTTCTGCTTTTCCAATCTTCTTTCCAAGAAAAAAACTTTTCTTCATTTTATACTGAAGGCTAAACGGGCGCACTGTACTGTCAGAGAAGTGTCCATAAGCATACATTGGTTCTAACACAAAGAACAAATAGGGTAGAGACTATTATTTTTGTGGGAAGGCACATTCTGAAAGGGTGAAACACTTTCTGCAGTGAGCTTAGTGTGCTGCAGAGAATCTTTAGTACTTTGCAGCCATGGAAGTCTCCGGAACCTATTAAGCCAGCCACTCCAGTTAATATTTTCTGTAGTTTTTTTGTACTTTATTCTAATATACATTTACTAATGTAAATGTAATATTATTATGGCACCTAATCGTTGCACCCTTGGATAGCTTAAGTTCAGCATGTGCTACCCTATATATGATCTTCCATAAAAATAATCCCTTTTGACAGCTATTAATCACAAACCAGAATAATTAAGGCCCCATCTCCTTAATGGGCAATGGAGTTCAATGAATAAACAATTAACAATTTTTTTAATAGACATTCCTCAGCTTGTACACTGTAAACTAGACAAGACCTCAATTTTTACTATGTGACTTTTTCTGAGAAATTTCTGTAAATGAAAACTGTTACTTTGAATAGTCCACAGTGCAAATTACTAAGTTATGAACCTCCAACACAATAACGTTTTTCCTTAAGGAACTTGTTTATGAGGAAGTTTCTATTTCTATATAATAATGATGCATTTTACTGTACAATAATAAGGATGATATTGCACTTAATGGAAAATGCTGTTTACAAGTACAGTAGTAAGTTCTTTAAGCAGACTCGCGTTTTGAGCCATTTTAATTTTCTTGTATCTTCCTGAATCTTCCCTAAAACTTACGTTTTATTGTAATAAATAAGTTTGCCTTTACACAATCCTTAAATATTTACTAAAATTCCTTAATTCCAAAGTAAATAATATTCATAATTAGTATATTTTTTAAGTTAAACAATTTGGCCCACACACGTAATACTGTAACCAAACTGTCTTCTCCTTTCTAACCACAAGTTACAGCTAGTAATTATCTGCAAATTGAATACCAACTATAGAGGAATAGAATTTAGTAGAAACACTACATGACAGTAGTGTTCAAAGAGGTGCAGATATACAGATGCACACTGTGAAATACAAACAGCACTTCTTTTAAAACAGTTGAATACAAGAGTCCAGCAGGAAAACAAATAAATTCAAAAGGTTAACTGAGGTTTTTTAGAAGTGTGATACACTACTAAATTCTCACTAATACTTAGCATTTATACAGTACTTTACATTTTTAAAGTGCTATACAAATGCTACCTAGATGTAATGTATTATCTAAAGGCAGAATAAAAATACAAAGCAAACGGTGATCAGATGAATGGCAACATGGCAGTAAAATGTAATGTAATTACTACAGAGAGAGACTAACTACTTTATAAATCAGCTAGCTATGCATGAGCTATAATGGAAGACCACATATTTTACAAGGGGAATGTATAGATATAAAATTACTGCCATTCATTAAATAGGTTTCTGTGACCACAAGGAATTGACACAGGAGCTGTAACTGGCTCCACAGGCTTAAAATGCCTAACTCTGAAGTTTTAGGAAACGTAAGGAAACCACTTCAGTGATAAACAGACAGCTTATTTCAAGTGCTAATACGAACAACCTGTAAGAGGCACCATTCTTATACCTCAATGCGGATTCCATGTTTTATAGACATTAATTCTCTAGTGCCAGTTAAATACATGATAAATGAACATAGATGAGGTAAAGATGCTGTAATTGCCACATACAGCCAATATGGCAAAGGAGGAGTTTTTCCAAACGGGCAGATCCAGAGGCCATGACGAATCCCGTCACGGACGTGATGAGAAGTCCAGGATATGAACAACATCCAGGGAAGAAAGCACCATGAATCCTTAAGCCTGAAAAGGTGCATAACACACTTTAATGTCAGAGCCACAACAGGAATCACAGTAGAACAATGAAGAAGTGGTCTCTGTGGAAGTGCCAGAGCAGCCTGCAGAAAAGAAAAACATAATTGGCAATGGCCACAATTGTGACAAGAAAATAAGCGTTTCATGGATGTTTACAGGTGTATTATCAAGTGACTACGTGGAAATGTGAACACACTGTTCCTTTCCACTGCAGTTCACCAAAATCAACAATATGGCTATTTAGATGTATTAGAGCTGTGTGCTGCCCTGTCACTCTACTGCATGATACGAATCATGCCTCCCACTAAGCATTACCGATGACAAAACAGGGAGGGGGAGGGATGAGGTATACTATTTGTCATATAGTCATGTGGTATACAGAAACTTGTACAGGCTGCTGCACTGATTACATGTATTTAATTTCACAATAATTAAAAAGAAAACCACCATATAATACACTTGAAATATTTAATATGCTTTACTTGAAATATTTCATATGCTTTAATAGCATTTATTTTCAAAAAATGATTATAATTAATAATTATAATATAAATGTATTATTATAATACAGTTAACACCGGTGAAGTTGTTTTGGTTGGACAGTATCTAAAACAGAACAGTAATTTCCAATACAACAAAAAAATGATCTAAGTTACATGTATGTTGATTGCCTTGACACAGTATTCTTTATGGAGAGGCAAAAGACAAGTTCAGAAGCCAACACCTGAACAATTTGTGACTGGGGTTTGTATATCAACAGCTTGTTTAACGTTAACTCAGTTTAAAGCTTGATATTTGATTTTAATTAAGGTGAATGTCTAGCTAATGAGATTAAATTTAGCGATTTTAAGAATAATTATAAATTTAATATACATACTTGTGAAAATAGTCTGGATGTACTTACGAGTAACAGCTAGAATTACCTCCATAAATTCAGAGAAAGTAAAAAAAATTAAATACTATTTTTTTGTATTTCTAACCAACAAATAAGTAGATTCTTGTTTCCATAAGCACAGGAGAAATGATAGCACATTACTCAAAGATCTGTACAGGTGCTGATGTAATACTAATTGGCTCAATTCAGATACTGGGGAACATCTGGAAGACTGTTAACAGGAACCAGAGACGTACTTGTTGCATGTGATGGTGCATCCGATTGTTATGTTGAACACATCCTCACTGAATTTACTGCAGAAAGCAAACAAAGCATCGCTTCAAGAAATGCTTCAGGTGTGTTAACTGTTGCAGGACTCAACAACTACAGTACATGACAGTGGGACTCTGGAATAGCTTCATCAACTTTTCATGGATAATTTAGACAACTGCTTGGAACCCTTCCCTGTAAGGGAACTTTGATGTAGCCTTAGCCAAGAAATATAGAGATGGAAACTTACGGACTACCTCGGAATATAACAATGTGTGCTTTAAATCAAAGCCAACATTAAAAGGCTTGCAGAAAGCTTTGCTCTATCAGCTTCCCACCACATGCTTGTCCATGACTCTTTAATCAGGTGATGGGGTTAAAAAGGCCACAAATGTCTCAACAGCTTTTAACTGTAATGGTATGGACCCAAATCCTTAAAGTTGGTGAAAAGGGTGTATTTTCTACAACTTAATTTCTGTTTCATACAAGAAGATTGTTCACAGATTAAAGTAGAAAAATCTCGTGATGGTGAAATTGTTTAGGACCCACCCTACAAAGACAGTCAGATTTTTGTTACTGGCAGCAAGAGGCTAAAATGTTTACACTAATCTCACTTTGAAAAGCCACCCTGGGTGGTTGATAAATTTTGACAGATATCCTGCTGACTGGTCGCTATTTCTACACTTTGAAAAAATCAGTGGCAAAGTCTAAATGAGTCTTTTCCCTCTGCCCTATGGGGGTTAGGTGCCAAGAGCAACCCAGTGAGTAAGGAGAATTCGAATGTTAATTATGTATGCAATTTATCAGTGTTAGTGCCAATCTTTATCCAGTTTTGGGTAGGTGATGCTTAAACCTTTTTCATACAGAATATTAGATGGCAGGGTTGTTCATACAGCTAATCTGAGCGCCCGATTTTAGCAAGAGAAAGCCCTATTTGTAATTGCAGTACAGTCATTAGGCTTCTGAAATGCTGTTGCCCAAGTTCTGAGAGGACAGTCTGTTTTCTCTTTCACATCCTATAACTAGAGGAATATTTACATCCTTGAGTTGCCAAGCCCAAGAGACAGACATGTAGTTCTATTTGGCAATATAAGCTGTTACTCTCTTTCTCCTAACAGGCAAATTTGTTTGCCTTTAGGTATCACCAGGTCTTAAAAAAACCCAAACAGTGCAAGCCTTTTCTGCCTTAAACTTCCTGGAAAAAGTTGATCATGGTTTGGGTAAACTTAAGTGGATGTCTACCATGACAGAGATCAGGTTGCAGTTGCAAACAATTTATTCACAACACAAATTGCCTTTCCATTTGCCTACATGTTCAATCAGGTGCAAGATTTTCTTGAAGTTCGTGCTCCTCTAGCCCATCTCACACACTGCAATGAGCATAGGGAGACAGGGAACAACAATCACATGCAGGAGAACCCAACCAAACTTTCCTTTAAAGCTTAAAGTGACACCATGGAATTTACGTAACAACGTGGGCTCCCTCACTCATATTCCACGATGCTTCACAAGCCTGAAGTCCACAGTTTTGAGGCTGATCTATAAATTCAATGCTAAATTAAATGCGCATGTGCAAAGCTTATTCTCCAATTCCAGAAATGCTCCTGTGCAGCCCAAGGTGGTCAGCAGTGGCACATTAACCAGCTGTGTTATGGATGCTTGCTGGTACAATCTTGTTTGCCACCGACTGCGTCCTCTACACTTTTAGAAGCTGGTGAGTCTTAAGTAGCGAGCTAGCAATTTCTGCTTGTCTGTTCTGCAACATGAGTGTTTGGGCTACAGTCTTAAGGGACACAGGGAGCAGCCCACAATCCTGTTCTTGTTTATCAGCGATGCTGAGTATTATGGCAGGCTGCAGTAACTTTCACCTTTAGAGCTAGTCAATGAGAGAGATTCTTCAAACACTGATTCTTAGATTCTTCTATGTTTGTATGCATATAATTCACAGAAAAAACTACATGGAATACAAATAACTACAAATTCTAAGTAGCAAAGTCTTTGTAGACTTTACACTTGTTGCAAAAATAATGTGGGCAAAAGGGCAGATCACATGCTACTTGGTACACAAGTATTTATCAGAGTAAACATATAAATACCACGGGTGACTATTTACCCTGAATACTCCAGAAAAATAACGATGACATCATGAAAAAAAGTCGAATAGCCAAATAAACCAAGCA